CTTCCAGTGGAAGCAGTAACAGTGATATAGAAAGGGTAGTAGATACCTGGAATAGCCTTCCAGTAGGAGCAGTAACAGTGATATAGAAAGGGTAGTAGATACCTGGAATAGCCTTCCTGTGGGAGCAGTAACAGTGATATAGAAAGGGTAGTAGATACCTGGAATAGCCTTCCAGTGGGAGCTGTAACAGTGCAAGTATAGGAAAGGTGGTAGTAGATACCTGGAACAGCCTTCCAGTGGGAGCAGTAACAGTGCTATAGAAAGGGTAGTAGATACCTGGAATAGCCTTCCAGTGGGAGCAGTAACAGTGCTATAGAAAGGGTAGTAGATACCTGGAATAGCCTTTTTATAGCAGATAGTTGCTTGAGATACATTTAAAGATATTATTGGTTGCTGATTAGCAAGCGGCATTGTTTTTGTGTCCGATTGGTATTGGTTACACAGAGTGAGAGGAGAGTTGTTTGGAGCAGTTGAGTGCAAAGGTTGCAGAGTGATGGAGCCGCCACTAGGGGGCAGTGCGGCTGTACCCACTTAACCGCTAACAGCAGTGGAATGGAAGTTCGAAACTCAGTACTGAGCGGAACAGAGCAAATTCCCCCCCCCCCCATTCCTATCCTGAGTATGGCACATAACCCCTTCCTATCCTGCATGACCCCTCTCCCGCTATACTGACACACACTGAGGGTATAAATAGGTGACATGGTGCACTTTTCTACTGTATTTCAGTAAGTATTGCAAATAAGGGACTCTACTGTAAAATGTTAAGACTAAGAAATTATACATTGCTGTTTAAAGCTACATCCACTGATTGTGTATGGGTCATCACATAGCTCCACGGCAATAAAGCTCCCAGTAATGTACAGTGTATGGGTCATCACAGAGCTCCACGGCAATAAAACTCCCAGTAATGTACAGTGTATGGGTCATCACATAGCTCCACGGCAGTAAAACTCCCAGTAATGTACAGTGTATGGGTCATCACATAGCTCCACGGCAATAAAGCTCCCAGTAATGTACAATGTATGGGTCATCACAGAGCTCCACGGCAATAAGGCTCCAGGTAATGTACAATGTATGGGTCATCACAGAGCTCCACGGCAATAAAGCTCCCAGTAATGTACAATGTATGGGTCATCACAGAGCTCCACGGCAATAAAGCTCCAGGTAATGTACATTGTATGTGTCATCACAGAGCTCCACGGCAATAAGGCTCCAGGTAATGTACAATGTATGGGTCATCACAGAGCTCCACGGCAATAAAGCTCCCAGTAATGTACAATGTATGGGTCATCACAGAGCTCCACGGCAATAAGCTCCAGGTAATGTACATTGTATGTGTCATCACAGAGCTCCACGGCAATAAAGCTCCAGTAATGTACAATGTATGGGTCATCACAGAGCTCCACGGCAATAAAGCTCCCAGTAATGTACAATGTATGGGTCATCACAGAGCTCCACGGCAATAAGGCTCCAGGTAATGTACAATGTATGGGTCATCACAGAGCTCCACGGCAATAAAGCTCCCAGTAATGTACAATGTATGGGTCATCACAGAGCTCCACGGCAATAAGGCTCCAGGTAATGTACATTGTATGTGTCATCACAGAGCTCCACGGCAATAAAGCTCCCAGT